CCTTAAAATAGTTTTAGAAGGACATATTATAGATGCAAAGATATTCAGTATATGTCGGAAGGTTTTCTACAGAATCTCTGACAAAAAAGCTTTTAAAAATCAGCAAAAACTACCATACATGTTTTTAAAGAGAGAGAAGTCATTAGCAACTGAAAAAAAGAGAAAAACAAAGAAAAAAAATTAACTACCTCCAGCAGGATTCGAACCCCAGACAGTGGGACAAAGTTTGGATCGGTCATATCTTTGCAATAAATGCACGCATCAAAATATTGAATACATATTTAGGATTTTTGTAAAACACTCTATAAACCTTGTAAATCCTAAAGAAAAATATTGAAAAACAAAAAAGTTGAAAAATTGGACTTTTTGAATTCACTTCCGTTTGCGACCGGAAGTGGCGACGACGAAAAATAAAGGTCGTTCCCCATATTGGAATTTGATGTTCTATTTATTCATTGAGTTTCAATTTCATATCTTTAGCCGTTGTCGAGAAAAATTCTGGACAAAATGCCATTTAAAAAATACAAATTTCCCCAAAAATCGCGAACGGAAGTGAATTTTGAAAAAATGAAAAACACGTCTGGAGATATTTACATGATGCATCTTCCGCGAAAAAATCTCTGAAATCTGCTCACTCACAGCTGAGATATCGCCATAACTATGAAAAAAAGAATAATAATAATAATAATAATAGAAAACAGACGGAAAACAATAAGGTCTTCCGAAGGAAGTCGGAAGACCTTAACTAGATGAGATCTCGTTGCGAGCAACGAGTAGGTCTTCCGTCCGATTTTTCGATAAGATGAGATATGATTTTGACTATGATCTTTGTTAAAAGAGTTAAAGATGAAAGACTTTTGTCCCCTCTGAGCCCCTAATTTGAGGGGTCAGCCCCTTTTTCTTGATATCAAATGAAAGGTCGTATCATTCTGCACAACTTTTCTTCTATATGTTTTAACTAATTCTTAACATCTATGAAGATATGAAAGAAAAGGTGTAAAATTTTGTGAGATGTTTCTGAGACATTTTTTGAGCCCTACCGAGCTTCGGCGCCTTTTGCGCTAGAGAGATTTGGACACCTGCCTACAAACCTTCCCCTACCTTCACTGAAAATCTTGACTCAATATCTTAAGTCGTTTCGGAGGAGTTTCCAGGACAAGCCGACCCTCTGAAAATCAGAAAATCGTCCATATCTCACAACCAGAAGTGACGACATCCACGGTGAAAATTTCCGACAAGGTTCTGATGAATATCTATCAGATCTGAAAGTTTGGTGAAAATCGACCGAGCCTTTTCCGAGAACTCGCGTGCACAAAATCAGTAAGAAAAAAAAAGAATAATAATATGGAAAAAGAAACCGAACGAAAACAATAAGGTCTTCTGTTGGAGACGGAAGACCTTAATAATAATAGAAAACAGACGGAAAACAATAAGGTCTTCCGAAGGAAGTCGGAAGACCTTAACTAGACGAGCTTGTTGCAAAGCAACAAATAAGTCTTCCGTCTTAATTTCAAGGAGATGAGATCGAGATCGAGAGACATCTACGGTCATATGAGCAAGAATGAGCCATTTACCATTACTTCCGGTGTGACAGGAAGTGACGTCATTTTGACGACTTTTGATGATCTCCTTAGCTGCTACTTGTCATTTTCAACAACTTTGCTTCTATGATGCTACACAAATTCTCAATACTTTTTGAGATATCAGGAAAACACTTTTGGCCCCTCTAGTTCCCTAATTTTAGGGGTCAGCCCCTTATTGTTGATATCCTTTGAAAGAGCGTAACATTCTACACAACTTTTGTTCTATATGTTTTAACAAAATATTTACAGGTAAAAAGATATTGTAGAAAAAGTGTTAGAAATTTTAAAAATCCCGATAGGACATTTTTCGGGCCATAGCGAGCGCCGACGTGCGGCACTTCCGGGGAAAAAGAAATGCGTATAATGCTCTATCATCGCTGAAAAATTTCATGTTTCTACCGCTTTTGAGGAAACTGCCGGAGAAAGTGACCCTCCGAAAATCACTAAATCGCGGAAAGCTCGGAACCGGAAGTGACGTTATCAAAACAAAAAAATATACATCTAGATTTTTTAATGTTCTATCAGACCTGTAAGTTTCATGAAAATCGAACTAGCCGTTTCCGAGAACTCGCGTGCACAAAATCGGTAAGAAAAAAAACAATAATAATAATAACAAAAAATAGTGGAAAAGAAACCTAAGAAAAACAAGAAGGTCTTCCGCTGAAGACGGAAGACCCTAATAATAACTAGAGCAAAGCTCGTTGCAAAGCAACGAGTAGGTCTTCCGACGGACGACGGACGTCGAAAGTATTATATTTAGAGTTTTTATCCGAAAAATGATAAAATTTAGGCAAATTTCTATAAAATGGACCGAAAAAATCATTTTTTTTAAAAAAAACTTCGGCTTTCAATTCGGGACTTTTTCGGCCGTAATGACGTCACTTCCGGTTGACGTCGAAAGTCTCAAAGCCATAAAAAATCTTAAGACTCAATTACAAACCATTTTATATCATTTCTAGTGATTTTAAAGGAAAAGCTTTATTTTTCTCGACTACTTCCAGTTTAAACCGGAAGTATTTTCAATGGATGGTTTTTGTTGTTGATTATACATTTGAACTTTATTTCTACATGCCTTAATGCAAAACTGTTCAATTTTTTTAAAAATCCGTAAATTAAATATCACTTCCAGTGTCGACCGGAAGTGACGGATGCAAAAACAAAAGTCGTTATACACATCTTAGAGAGATGTTCTATCACCTCTGAAAATATCATGATTCTATCTTGAGTCATTTTTAAGAAGAAGTGAAAATGATAATTTAAAAAATGAAAATCGGATAAAAAAATGCAACCGGAAGTGATTTTCCAAAAAAAAAAAAATGGTCTGGAGATATTATAATGATGCATCATCCCTGAAAAAACTTTGAAATTGGTCGATTAGTTCCCGAGAAATCGCGTGTACTATGAAAAGGGAATAATAATAATAATAGGAAACAGAAGAAAAACAGTAAGGTCTTCCGAAGACCTTAATAATAATAAGAAACAGAGTAGAAACAATATGTTCCCAAACTTCGTTTGGGGAACATAATAAGCCTACAAGATGTACAAATATTGATCATTTTTGATAGTATTTCAAGTAATGCAAATGAATCATCTGAGTAACAATCATCAGTTATTGATGGTGGTCACAACATCATAGAAGTCTAATTGTAAAAATAAGTGAATCCTCATTTGTTTGAAATTGTTGTTCTCCACAAGGGGTTTTACCATGGCGGCCCGCCATGGTTAAATTTATGTGCGCCATGGTTAAACAAGCTGCGCCGTGGTTAAAATCGACGACCGCCATGATTAAATTTTTCTTGCATTTCAGTAATTACACTTTATTTTTAATGACCTGAGTAGTTGATACAAATACAAATACAAATATTTTATTGGCACAAACACAATTACAGTAAATGGTAAAGGCCCATACAGAACATATTAATAAGCATAATAATACAGTAGAACACAACTAGAATACAAACAATTGGTGTAGCAAATAATGTAGTGTACTCATCCGATACTAAATAATTCATAACAATGTAGATACTCATTTATAGCTAAAACATTTTTTCTAATATCAGATATTTGATATAAAAATGAAGATAATATTTCAAGAATCCTTTTACACCTTGTTTTCATCAATGATTTTAAGAAATTGTCATTATTATGGATTGTTTGGTTGAAATTAGGGAAAGTAGATAATTTTGTTTTGAATACTTTTCTCTGTGCTTCATATTTCGGACAGAGCAAAATGAAATGTTTTTCATCCTCAATATCAAGGTTTTGACAAACTTTACACAAACACAACCTATCATTTTTATTAATTTCAACATATCTACCTATTTCAATTTCTAAATTATGTGCACTTAACCTAATTTTTGCTACAAAAGATCTATCATGCAGTGACTCTAGTTTGTCAACATAATGTGCACGTTTATTATTAAAACAGAAGTTTCGATAAAATGATAGTTTAGAGGAGTTCATAATACTTGCATAGTACTTGTTAATTGTGTTTATACTACGACTGGCATGCACCTCGAGAGAAAGCGGACTGTGCTAAACAAACACAGTCGTTGATCGGAAATGTACCTGTATACCGTGAAGTGTGACAACTGAGAGTCAATCAGCTGATTATCAATATCTTTAGAGTTAATTTTCCTGTACACTTGTAATTTCCTTTCCCCTTGTATTTAATTTTCAAATTCCTCTTGCTCCGTTTTAAATTATTAATTTGTTATCTTTCTGACAAAATGGACACGAACTCCAATCACCAAGTATAGGTTATAGAATTACCTCCCGTTTTATGAAACGTCGCGTGGCGCTATTTTTAGCACTGGAGCACATGGAGAAGTAAACAATGAAGGAAAATCAGCGAAAAATGCAGTGTAGAAAAGGGGGAGGGGGAGTTTAGAAAGGACATAACAGAGAAAGCACTGTTACAGTTATCTCAAATTTATGCCCCTGGTTATAATTAAAACTTTTGATACTTATACCATCAATAAGTTTTCGAAGACCATGCAGTTGAAAAACTCAGGCAATGTTTATATGCCTGTGCTTGTTCGTTTGTGTCTCTGTAACACACCCCCCCCCCCACCCCACCCCCCATCCCAAATATAAGATCTACTCCTTCATCATCTTCACTGTAAAAAGGAAGAAAAGGAATATATCAATAAAAATTTTCTTCTTAAGAACAGCAATGCTAATATGTATCATATTAATTCAAAAGCATCCTTCGAAAGTGTAGAATTCATACCCCCCCCCCTTCCCTCTGAACCACTTTTATATATAAACTTTTAAATACTGAACTGATTTATGCTTTTTCCTACCCAAAGTGCTCAGGTGAGCAATGTGGCCCCTAGGACTCTTGTTTATTGTTCGTCTTGTAAGTGAAATCAGAATGCAATACAGTGTAGTAACTGTACATAATGTATTCTTTCAGAGAGAAGAAAATTGACATTAAAGGAGAACCAGTAACTAAAGATGTATGATGAATCAAGATGTGATCATGTGGTAAGTGGTAATTAATTCAATCATAAATAGGCATGTATGACAATTGCATTAAAAGAAAAGAACTTGATTCCAATTTTAATTGGAATGTTGAACTACCAGCTGCAAACTACAAAAGGTTAGGCATAATAAAAAAAAAATGTTTGTTTACGCCCCCCCCCCCCCCCCCCAATATCTAATAGCCAACCCAAATTTTTTTTCATTGTAAAAATCCGTAAGTCACTCATTCGTCAGTTTAACTTTTACATGCATCTTAATCGGTCAAGCGTTTGAATCGAAAGTACTAGAAATAGTTAGTGCAACATGGAGTTAAAGAAGAAATACAAGACAGTTTTTTTCATTGTGTGGTAGCTGTAAGGCAGTTGGCAAGAAAGATATTGTCTATCGCCTATATTGCAAGCCCAAACAGAAGTAAAGCACCACACAATGGTAAAACTGTTTTGTATTTCAACCAATTCATGTGAATTTGTGTATAAAAAAATTCAATAAAATAAAAAAAAAATCCTACCTACCAACCCTATTTTATTTCAGCATGTAACAGTAAACAGTAAAACAGTAAAAAAAACTTATTTTTTTGTTTGGCCTTATGATATTGTATGGCTTGGAGTCTTTTTCACTTCTCTATAAAATTTTCTGTCTGGATGATATCTAGCATAATATACACCATGCAGTGAGGATTTTAGTTCACCCGAGCTAAAAACTCGAGTGAACTTTTCTGATCACCTTTTGTTTTGTCTTTTGTCCATCAAACTGTCGATCCATCAGTGAGCTTTTCACATTTTCAACCTCTCCTCAAGAACCACTAATTTTAACCAAGGTTGACACAAAGAAAGGATATTTTAAATTGTACAGAGGAAGCCCCCTCCCTCCCCCCCCCCCTTTTCACCCCAAGAGGAAATGATCAACTCTTTCAGATATAATTGATATGATCATTGTTGAGCAACTTATAATTTTGTATCCTGTAGACTTTATTTTAAGAATAATGAATATTTGTTTAAGAGTCCTTTTGTCAAGGTTCAAAGTTCAATTAAAATTATTTTGTGGTACATGTATTTGAGGATTCGAGATATCAGGAGTAAAATATTTAAAGAATACTTCCAAATTACTTCGACATATCTATGGTATTAGAGATGCCAAAGTTCAGCTGTATGGCTATGCTAAGGTAGTAAATATTATAACTTACTGAAACTTTCTAACATTGAAATATGTTAAATGAAACAAGACAAAAATGAAAAATGAAAATTTACTGGTTTCTGGCTGGTCAGTATTTTGATGACTGTAATTTCTAAAATATTCAATGAAACACTTTGAAGCTTTAACTGTAGGTATATGTTAACTTAATATACTATAAGGTAATATTTATAAATGAGAAATTTTGAACAAACATTACAACATGCATGTATGTAAATTTGGGTTATAAATTGGTTACCGGTAATGGTTATCACCTTAATTTTCAATGACATAAAACAAGATTTAGAATGTAGGTAAATAATACTAGTATGTATCTGTACATATGATATAGCATATAGAACTTGTACTGAATGTTGATTAGCTAAATCTTGAATGGCTGATATGTTGGTCGTTTGTGATGAAATTTAGATTATTTGTATGTAAACTGAGTGTACATGCAACATGAAATTATTCATAAGGTATTAAACATGATTAAAACATGTGTATGCAATGCAACATATGATGAATTCATATTGACTTGTATGGATGTAGCTTAACATGTATGTGCATTGTTTTTTAGGGTCCAGTTCTGCAGATGCCATGAGATGATCTGTCTGTCCATCTGATATCACTTGTCCTGAGTATATTTTTTCTCCTCTTAGCCCGATCTCACTCAAATTTAACTCATAGAGTGCCTGTGGATGGAGGGTAAAAAGTGACCTTGGACCAATTATCAAGGTCGAAGGTCAGTATCAAAACACACTATATATCTTTATTTAAAGTCCTTGTCCAGAGCATAATTTTTCTCCCTTGGTATGATCTGGCTTGTGTGCCATGGGATGAAGGGTTTTTAGTGATCTTTAACAAAATTTCTTGGTCAAATGTCAATATGGAAAAAAAAAAGATTTGTAATATCCTTGTCCAGAGCACATTTCTCCAATTCACTCAACTAAAAGCAGTGTTCTACATGTACGAGATGGTCACATTCTCAATCATACCTGCTTTAATATTAATCTGGCTTAAAACCTTACTATGTAATGTTCATTATTCGGATTTCATGTCATTAAATTTAAAGACTGAAACTAACTAGTTATAATTGTAACAGGGACCGTTACAGATGTTCCCCAAACGCTCCCCAACACCCTTTTGGTGTCTTATTTCCTGTAAGCTTCATTAAAAAAGGCAATGAAGTATATTGATCGTTTTTTGCATTACACGAGCGCGCACGTGCATGCATTTGCAGGATGACCATGTCATCCCGTCTATACTGTTAATGCATCTTTATATTCTCAGTATCAAATTTAAACATTTCATCAAAAATATGTAAGTTCCGGCTATATCAAGTATATAGGTCATCTTAGCATTGCGCGCACGCGCACCTGCATTCATGTTCATAATGGCCATGCTATCTTGTCTAAACTTATAATTTGTCTGTTTATTCTTAGTATCAAAGCTTTTCATCAAAAAATATAAAAGTTACGGCTATATTAAATATATTGGTAATTTAACACATTGCACGCGCGCGCATTTGCATGCATGTGCATGATGTCCACATCATCTTGCCTACACTTTTAATATATCTGTATATTCTTAATATCAAAGCTTTTCATCAAAAAATATAAAAATTACGGCTATATTAAGTATATCTGTCATATAACACATTGCACGCGCGCGCACGTGCATGCATATGCATGCATGTGCGTGATGACCTTGTCATCTTGTCTACACTTCTAATTAATATAAATATTTTGAGTATCAAAACATTTCATCAAAAAGAATATAAGTTACGACTATATCAAGTATATTGGTCATTTTACGCAATGCATGCGCACGCACGTGCATGCACGTGCGCGCAAAATGACCTTCGTTGCGCAAATCTACATAATATGCCTAGTTACCCTAAAAAGGTTTCACCTCAATCGGATGAGTAGTTTACGAGATCACTCACGGACAAAAAAATACCCGGAAGAAAAATAATAATAACTAGAAACTCATTGCGAGCAATGAGAGGTCTTCCGTCCGATTCTGGAAAAAAAAACAACGAAGATTCAAGCTGAAAAAGTGATAAAAGAAATTCAGACATCCTGGAGATTTAACCCTGGTCGTCGGCGTAAAAATCCAACGTGCTAACCATTAACCATTCACCTTTTTGCATCACTTCCTGTCAGGATCGGAAGTAACGGTGATACAAGATTTTCTCACAATTCAAATAAACTGATGACTGACTATCAGTCCTTAAAGTTTTAAACTTCAGTCCTTTATTGTCGCCGAGCAATATTGTGAGAACAAATTCTAATTTTGAGGTCAGGTAAACACGCGACCGGAAGTGAATTTTATAAAAATCTCTGACATTTCTCTAGACATTTGCAGCATCTACAACATACATAAAATTATTTCAAGTACTTTATCGATAAGCAATATTTATGAGAAAGTTAAATATCAAAATAACGTAGTTTATCTCCTAAAACCGGAAGTTGACGTTTTTGTTTCCGGTGGAATCAAACGTATTTCAAAACTGTGAAAGAGATGCAATGAAGTTATGCAAGTTTTAATTTAAAAAAAAGAAAGTTAAAATTTTTGATTTCTTTGATCACTTCCTGTAGCAAGCGGAAGTGACAACTGACGCGTTTAACCCAAATGATTTCGCCTACTTCTCAAGGTCTATTACTCATAAAAACTTGGTGTTTTAATCTTTTACCAGTTTTTGAGATCTCGAGCAGAAATCTTCTCATTTTAAGGACAGGAAAACATGCGACCGGAAGTGAACTTTTGAAAGATATTTAAGTTTACTCTCGACATTTGCAATCTGAATAACATATTTAAAATTCATTTCAAAAACTTTATCTATAAAGAATATTTATGGGAAGGCAAAATACTCAAATTATGTAGTTTTTCTCTTATAACCGGAAGTTGTCGTTTATGTTTCCGGTGGGACGAACATCTTTCGAATCTGCCAAAAATTTGCAATAAAGTTATGCAATTTTTAATTAAAAAAAGAAAAGTTGAAATATTTTATTTCTTTGATCACTTCCTGTGACGACCGGAAGTGACGGCTGACGCTCTGAACCCAAACATTTTTGCCTAGATCTTAAGGCCTGTTGCTCATATAAGTTTGGTGTCTTAATCTCTAACCGTTTCCGAGATCTTGCTCAGACAACTTCTCATTTTGAGGACAGGAAAACACGCGACCGGAAGTGAATTTTACAAAGATATTTGACCTTACTCTAGATATTTGCAGTCTGAATAACATATTTAAAATTCATTTCAAATACTTTATCAACAAAAGACATTAATGGGAAAGAAAAATACTCAAATTAGGTAGTTTTTTCTCTTATAACAGGAAGTTGACGTTTTTGTTTCCGGTGGGACCAACATATTTCGAAACTACACAAAAGATGCAATATTGTGATATAGGAATGAATTCAAAAAAGGAAAGTTGAAATTTTACGATTTCTTTGATCACTTCCGTACACGACCGGAAGTGCCGACGACGAACGAAAAGGCGATTCCACAAATTAAAATGTCACGTTCTATGCTCTCCAATAAGTCTCCAGTTCATATCTTTAACCGTTCTTGAGAACATTCGCGGACAATATTCCATTTAAAAATCAGGAAATTGCCCGTAACTTGGAACCAGAATGGAATTTTCCAAATCTTCCGTGTGATGAACAAACTCATACAATGACTAATTTTTCCTGAAAGTTTCACGTAAAACCACTCAATAGTTTTCGAAAAAACGCCTGCACAAAATTTGGTCAAAATAATAATAATAATAACTAGAAACTCATTGCGAGCAATGAGAGGTCTTTCGTCCGATTCTGAAAATAAAAACG